TTTTTCGAGAATGCATAATTTATTTCTACACGTTAGCTTGGTAACAATTATACATTGCATGTTTCAAAAGGCTGAACTGCTGCCTTTTTGGGTTCTTGTGATTTGTTCTGAATGACTCGTGGTGTCATACATGACCACCATGTTTGCTAGTTTTAGCTGTTTCTCTAGGGGCAAGTAATCCTTCAGAGAAACGCAACAATGATGCATTACTTGTAGCAGAAGAGAAGCCATGTCGTTTTCTCCTCTCTCAATTTCACGTGTATCACCGCCAACAGCTACCAGAGAAGCCCATCTGTGAATCCGTTCTGTGGACGTCCAGAGATGAGAAACAAAGGTTTCTGCAACCATTTCCCAACTCGGGTCCGAAAATAGAGATGGAAGGGTGACTGGAAGGTCATTCAACACATACAATCTGTCCAGGATGAGAAGAGGCATGTACTTGCAACAGCTTCCAGATAAGAGACCGATAAACTGCAGTGCCTGGAGGAAAAAGGAGAAAAAAAGAAGAAGAAATTCTTTCAAAACTGCTCTAGAACAATAGTTGTTTCCGAAGGGACATATAATTACTTACCGTGGAAGGATAGCTTGAAACACAACTGATTTCAACTGCATCAATCAGCCATTGTCTTTTGACACTTCCTTCTGCTTGTAAAGCTGCTACAATTTCAATAAGCACATCCCAGATGCCTGAATATGAAATTCTCAGATGTAAGGGAGAATGATTTTGAAGCACTAGGTTTAACCAAAAATGAAACTTTTGTTTATTTCATCGCGAGACTTTCAATCTCTTAAGTTTTCCGGTGGGTTTCGTGCATCTTTAAAGAAAACTAACCTACTGATTCAGAGTTCAACAGGAAATATTTTAGTTTTCCCAGCTCGGTTAGTGGGATGCAACCAATCCTTACTAGCTTGGCTTTTGCCTGAATCTTCTTTAGTACTTCTCTGAATTGGATATCATCTCGAACTGGAGGATCCACATGTGAAATCTATGATGTGCAAATAGTTAATAGAAAGCTTCTGATCAGTGAATAACTGAAAATTTTATGTTAAGCAATAAGTGGTTTCAAGTCCAAAGTCGATGAATCCATGCCCCAACAAAACGAAAACTAAGAACTGCGTTTTCTTCTCTTGGGAAGA